GCAGGTCAGCTACGACCTGACCATTGTCTCACAGTTACATGTGTGGACATTTTGTATCATGCATGCAGCAGATCAATGTCCTGGACTGGCAGATGATGTTAATGCCAAAGCTATTCCTGGTCATGGACATATAATTATCACCAATAGACATAGGCAACAAGGCAAAATATACAAGCAAGATCTACCTTCTGAAAGGCTCAAAGTGTGTCTGGTCCATTAGCAGAATCACAAATGTTTACACAAAGATGCAACAAATGAGTCACTGACCTGTTAACCTTGCTGCAAGCTGTTCTGGCAGCTTGCAAGTTGCCAAGAAGAGTGATGGCCAGAGCAGGGGAAGAAGAGTTGGAACCAGCAATGTAGCAAGTGGTAAAGGCAATGTCACTAGCATGATATCACTGAATGTTGAGCCATTCAGGTTGCTGATGAACTGGGTATGTTGCTCAGCATATGTTGCCATGGTCCTGGGCTGAGCTTACTATCTGATCAGCTTGGGCTTCAAATTGGACAATACAACTTACATGCTTTGAACAAGATAGCATTATTGTTAGAATGCACTTCTGGGTGGTGAAACACATTTCACTTTCAATTCATACATACTTTAATGGGTTCAGTCATTTAGATAACACAGTAGTAATGGCCTTATTCCCCAGAGAAAAACCATGAGAATGGACATTTAACACATCAATATTTCTGCAACATGCCTTTATCAAAACAATGGCAGAAGTGAGTTTAAAATTGTCTGCCCATCTACTTCATTTTTCAGTTGTTTTCTTTTCTTAAAGTGAGCAACAGTTTTTACCAGTCAGCAGCATTCAGGAGAATTAACAAGGAGCGATTGCCAGCAATTACTATGATACAGTGCATGTCTGAGAATCAGAATGCACAAAAATATGTGCACATGCAAACAAATTAAATTGGATGGGCATCATGCATTGCTTCCTTCACACATGCATATGACTGGTCCTAGGCATATTGCTTAAAGATCAACACATCTACATCTCCTTTCTCCTGGTTTTCTCCGAGGAATAAGGCTATTATTACTATCTACATGAGTAGTGTTCCTTGCATATGCGCTTTACTTGCATAATTTTGGGCTCATTCATTGTTAAATTTTGTATCCTGGGGGTAAGAAGATGTAACCCTTTGGGTCCCAGTGTCATGTGAGCAGTTTCTTTGATAAAGAAAAGCTGAAATTAAAGCATTAATGTGAGATGAACCTATTTTTCAAACAGAATAGGCCTGAGAGTTGCTGGACTAGAATGCATCCAATTACAATTAATTCATGTCATATAAACCTATGCATGCATTTTTCAGCTGATGTGGCATACTAAAAACAGCAAAGCAGTCTAGTTACATTATCATATTTGTTTGCACAAATGCCTGCAAATTGTCTAATATTGGGTAACTTTAATGCCCACATCCTGCCCCAGGAAAGCCATCATTTGTCCCCACAGGACCCCAGGTGGAAACCCTGGCAAACAAACCTTCTCTGGTATTCCTCGCTGATGGCACACACACATTTACGAGCACAGGCGTCAACTTGCATTCTTTTGTGGGGCCCCTGGCTCCCCAATAGCGAGTGGGCCCCCCAATATTGAGTTGGACCCCTGCCCCAAATGTTGGCTTGCCCCCCCCCCCATGTTTTCGGCAGGCATACTACAAGAACGTGAGTAAAAGATTATCATAAAACAAAGTGAGTAAAAGATGATCATAAAACAAGGGCTATCTTCGTTGATCTCCCCGCGCAGCGGCGTCTCATACCACTCCGATAACAAAGTCATGGTTGCTCTCACAAGATACAAATCGTAACAGCTGAGCGGATAAACGGTGCAATAAACTTCACATACCTAGCGCCACAAAACACGCAGTGGTTTGAGGTTAAGGTGGAAAGTTCTGGAATATGAGAATGACCTAAGTCCTTCATGGCCAACCCGTTCCCCGTCCCTCACAACCAAAACGCGTGCCGCCCGCCACGACCGCCATAGAAGCGCGCCACTGGTGCTCTAATGTGGCACCTGAACGGGCGCCTCCACGTGCCGATCAGAAGAGACGCGTGCGTCCAGTGCCTGCTCTACGGATCCACCCCTGTATGACTCCGTGCTGCTTGAATTAAGGACTTCGATAAATCATACAGAGTTTACAAAGCATTCATTGCGTTTAATCAAGATATAGGGGGCTAAATCTGGTGAGAAAAACATGGGGAGAGGCTGGCGGGCGCCCGGTTCGGCCTCTCCCCAAATTACAAAAATTGACACCCCTGGTTATGAGTTTCAGTTATCCCACCACCTCAGCCATAGACTTGTCCACCGCGTTACCCTGTATCGCTCCATTATTCCAGTGGACTGCGACGTCCGACCTCTTCTTTCCTGACCACTTCCCCCCCCCCCCCACATTACTCTTACGCGCGCGGCTCTATTCCTGTCTCCGCCTACCATCAACAAATGTTATACAGATGTTGGTGACCGGGCAGCCTTTAACAACAGCTTTAACATCACTCGGCATGTTCCAAATAATTAAAGAGCAATCGTACCGGACTTCCTTAGAGCCGTTGACTCCAAGGCCCCGGTTCACTCAGCCGCTACCGAAACATTTCAGGGGCGTACCCCTTTCTTTCGAGCGTACCAGATCTGGTTAGCTCGGACATGCCTCATAGTGGAACTGGCGGTACCAACGGGCTAAGGCACTTTGACGCAGGGCGCTCAAAGATTTTCAAAAATGCATTTGAACCCGCCATGAAGTACTGTACAACAGCGCGCAAACCGTGTTCTGACACGCTGCGTCGCGAAAGCAATAGGCGTGGCGGGATTTTGCTTCGATGTGCAATCGCTTTACGCCTTTATATGAAAGTTGGAAACATGTCCGCTCGTTTGCCTCTCGCCGAAAGTATGTGTGCTTCCCCATAGCTTGCGAGGGAAAACGACTTTATAACCGATCTACATAAAGTCGCTAACGCTGCGTAACGCCTTGCCTGTGTGCTCCTCAAACATACACTCCCCCAACGTCAACACGCGACTGTGTGGCCGTTTGGATACCCTTCGCTCGGTGGGGGTGGGGGTGGGGGTGGGGGTCAAACTAACCCCCACCCTGAGATCCCAGGAACTAAGAGAGCCAGACACCGAATTCACATGGTGTGTTAAACTGTACGTGAACTCACTTAGGTGAAAGTTTGAGGTTCCTAGGTCACGACCTTCGGGTCAAATAAGGTCAAACAAGGTCAGATTCCAGGTTGGTCCCCAACGTGCCTGCAGAACCTAGGTAAGCAAAAGGCCACATGCTCATTTATGGTCAGTGACCTCAACCGTGACATTTTGAAGGATTTGAGTTCTGCAGTTGAGTGAGCGACAAATATTACGCTAAACATCCAAAATGACCAGTCGATTTGGCCAGGTCATTGGGATTACAGATGGCAAATAACAAACATGGGTTCAAATAGAACAGTTCAATAATTAAATCAAAATTTACATTAGCGGCAGCCATGGTCGAGCCGAGATCTAGGAATTCCAATAGTTCAGGGAGTCGGTAAACATGTTTTCAGCCAGATTCCCGTGTGGCGAGAGCACCAGGAGGGAACATGAGCCGCTGTCTCTCAGAGGTTCCATGCACAGTATTCACACCTAATCCGAACAACATTTGGCGCATTTCTTAGCAGTCGCCATCCAAATGTCATTGTTACGCTGATTTCGCATCTTATGAATGCATCATTATAATCATGGGAAATCGTTTTCATCATCAAGAACTGTTGTTCTGATCATTCAATCACGGCAACAACGTTAGATGTGTTACAGCCAACCCAGCAAGTCAACATCATGTGCCGCCTCAATGCTCACTTCACTCGACAGGCGCTCTGAATCACTCCGTTCATGCAGACATCGCCATGAAACCTGTCACTCGGGGGCCGCAGCGATGAACCGGTCATCGGCGATGTAAGCTGCCAGTTGGAAAGCATCACACAGGCTAAATATATTTTCCAATCTAGTGGACACAATAATTGAGAGCAACACATGCCGGCCCGACTGCGTGACGCTTTTCCTATTGTCGCGCGCTGGTTGAAGAAGTGAGTCCAACGACAGCGGACACCCGTCAATGTTGTCTGGCTAACTGCGGCTCCCAGTCAGAGATCGTCAGCTGGTGCGGCTCCTGGTTAGAAGTCGCTAGGCGGGCAGCCGCGGGTCCCATTCAGAAGCTTTCAGGCGGGTAGCGGCGTGCCCCAGTAAACAGTCGTCGGGTCGCCGCAGCTCTTGGTCAGAAGTCGCCAGGCGGGCAGTGGCGGGCCCCGTTCAAAAGTCGCCAGGTGACCGCAGGTCACAGCCAAAAGTCGCCATGCCGGCAGTGGCGGGCCCCGTTCAGAAGTCGCCAGGTGGCCGCGTGTCCCGGTCAGAAGTCGTCAGGTGGCAGCGGGGGTGGTGGGCCCCGGTCAGCCCCGGCCGCCGGCAGCAGTGGCAGGCCATCTCGCGGGTTGCGCCGGGCCGCCGGGTTCAAGCGTGCCGTGATCGAAGTCCGAGGCGCAGGCGGGAGAGGGTCGTCCGGCTGACGCCTCTGCCGCTGCTGCTGGAAGCGCATCTTCTTCATGTCGCCACCAGATGGCACCTACGCGGACCAGAAAATCACATCACATGAAGGCGGGGAGTAAATGAACGAACTTCATCATCTCCAGAATTTGGAGCAATTATGCAAGTGATTCTTTCTACATTATGCCATATCTGATATGTGTAGCGGTGGACCACGCCCCGGGACCATGTGTCAGCATGTAAGGCGAGTGGGTCGATGACTCATGTCTGAGTGAGGGGAACAATCACGGCTCGGGGCGGTACGTCACGGTGGCGCCGGCCAATCGCTCGCGGATCGTGTTGCGGGGATGAGCCTTGGAAAGAGTACAGGAGGTGCTGCTCGGGCGCGTGGGGTGGGTCTCTCCCTGTCGGCGTCGTGTGCGGCAGGTCACCGCTGCGTGTGAGGCAGTCCGACCGATAATTTTTTTTCATGATCGAATACAGTATGTCTGGCGCCGATAACCCCAAAAGTGACAAACACCGCTTTGCACTGCGCCAGCTATCAGCACCAGTCGTGCTTACCTGGGTGCCTATAGCGCCGTAATCGTCGATTGGAAACTTCTGGTAGGTGAACGCCAGCGGCAATTCCCGATTGGAAGAGTACTGTTTGGTCCTGCCCGCCGCTATCACTACCAAGTCAACCGCGCTGGCATACACCACCTCCGTGATCAGGTATATGCGGTCAATGTACGCCAGCGCTGTGGAGCAGATGCAGCTGGACGTAACTGAGGGATCGGTGCTGGAGAACACTGATCCGCTCGTCCCCCAGAGAAGGGGTTGACAAACTGGAAGGTTGAAGATCATGACAAAATGGTGATTTTGTTATTTGCATACATTATTGAGCACTGCTGGGTATTCCGTGACTTCATAAATTACTGAAACACGCATCGTCATGGGAAAACAAACTGTTAAAAAATATAGAACAAAAGGCACGTAGGTTACACCGACATGGACAGATCCCCCAACAACGTGAGGAGGCAAGTAAAAAAAACATGGCCGTTTGTATTATGCGGCAAATCTCCGGATAAATATCCTCGTTATGTTTCTAATCTTTCTCCTTCAAAAAACCATGCAGGAGCTTCACCGAAATCACTGAGTCGGTTACTGCGCTTGTTGCTTTTATGCAAGCTGGGCGTTGGGTATCACGTGATGGCCGTATGGCGTCAGGGAGAAATCCGTCGGGTGAACATGACAATATTGTGGAAAAGTGAGGAACCAGTGGTGCTGATTACGCAGACAGCAAAAATCAAGTTGAAGGAAACGAAGACGATATAAATAAAAAAACGCGCATAACATAATGACGGCCAGTATGGCAGATGCCGCCTAAGAGTAAAGGAAGCGAGACAAAATCAAGGAATCTGACTAACGATATGCATTAAATGGAAAATACCCCACGTAACATAAACACACCTTATATTTGGTATGTAAGTACATATAACTCATTCACAATGCACATGCCTACATGTGGACACTTGGGGGTACGTACGCGGACATATGGCACGTACATGCAATAATCATGTTTTGCTGCCATAATTCCTCTAAACAGGCTCGTTTTGCCGATTGCTGGCTATGGCTAGTAGTTCAAACGGTGGCTAGTTTGTGCGCTGAAAATGATTCTGGCGCCTACAATTTCGAAAGCGGCCGATACTTTCTAAGTGACATGGAGTTGCTCATCATTCCGTATTGGATTTGACCTTGATGGTAGGTTTGAGGGGCCAGAACTCCTAGATGGACGTTATTTCATGCGCTGAAGACGATGTTGATATTTGAAATTCGAAACCGGCCGGCAAACTTGTCCTTAAAGTTCGCGCACGTTTCGAAATATAGACGCCAGATTCGGTGTGCCCGCGCCGATAGTAACCATTCTATGCGTTTTATCGAAGTTGGAACTCACTGCTACCTACATCGAAAAAAAAAAACGCTACATTCACAGACATTAAAACGTTTTACCCGTGCTGGATCCGTCTATGATCTTCATTTCCGTTTTCAATTTGAAATATATTGCAGTCAAGTACATTCTAAGCTCATTCTCAAGGATGTGGAGTTTTCACCACGTACACCACTTCCTCATCTATACTGGTGGAAGTAAGTTCAGATCTTGAGACAAAACGCATGGCATCTGTGTGGTATGCTCAAAGTTGGGTATTCGGTTTTCGAGATCCCTGGGGTCAGGGCAGAACCAGCCCCGCAGCTTAACGCAAAGTTCCACTCAGCGAGGAAAAGGTTGGTTCGGTAACTTTGAAACTGTCATCGCCGAAAACGCTCTTACGAAACCATTCAACAAAAAAGTATTAGGCACACGAAGAGGCTGTCTCTGACCTGGATCTGCTGCCCTGTTGATCACCAAGTCCCCGGGCTGAGTTGCAGTGAGAAGGATGACCTTCTTGTGCGGCGCGTTGACTGTCAGGTGAATTTCCTTCCCCGTTTTGCCCCACAAATCACACTGGAAAAACATGAACACAACACTTTCAATGCGATTTTTGGACCGACCGGCGCATTGCACGGCCCGACTCGAGCCCGATAAATAGTGCTGTTCACTTACCACACAGCAAATAATCTAGGCTGCGTATAATGTCGGCTGGCGATCCCAACTATTGCCAGTAATCGGCTAGCACCTGCTCAGCAATGGTTTAGCAAGCTGTCTCAGCGAGAGTCCAGTTATGTTTCAACACATCCAGTTTTTTGAGGCTGCCATTGCTACAAATGGGTTCAACCTTGTGGCGAGCACAGCTGGAAAGTACTGCAAAAAGTCGGCTCAGCAGGGCAGCCCAATGACCGCGTCATGCTAATGGCTAAATTTGGCTTCAGTGATTCCATGTCCAAATTGTTTTACTTCAAGCCGGTGTGCCGCTGCCCCAATAGCAAGGCCACATCCTCCAGCCATGGTGGCGGGCATCTCACTCTGTACTGGGCAGGGAAGTCGAGCTCCTCGCTGTGGGGACGGGAGCACATTGCCAGCTCGGACCGGTTGCAGCTGGCCAGGTCGGCCACGCTGGTGAGCGGACCAAGTACCTCGTACAGCCGTGGCTTCGTCAGCTTCGATATTATCCCCTGTCGCAAGATCACGGGACTCGGATAGCGGCGCAGAACACTGCGCGGCCGCCAGGATATCCCAGATGCGGAGTGGTGAATGAGCCCAGCGGGGGCATCAACGTCGTACTCGTACAGTCATTTGATAGCCTTAATGAGTTCGTTTTATGTGGACGAACACCGTTCGGTGTTGACTACCGTACTGACCTTTCCGTCGTCAATTTTGTAGAACACTGTCGCCAGGTCATACAGATCGGCCTCCGTGATGTAGGGAACAGGTATCAGCTCCTCCCCGACCAGCTGATAGCTGATCTGTTTGCGTAAAATGTCCCAAGCTTGTGCAATGTCGCAGTCGGTCAGCTTGTCGGCCATTGACAGCTAACGTCAGTGGTTCATTTCCGACCATCTAACCATGGCAGCGGTAGCGGATGTGACGTTTAGACAAAACAATACAAGACATCCACCAGCCAGATGGACATACTGATGCAAAGGTAGTTTAGGCCTGAACTGGATTTTTCTACTGAGTTGTTTTCTATGATAGCTCGTCAAAATAGCACGCGCATTTTGCCATTAGCCGCTCTTCTTCGGCGCACGTCTGCAGATCACTCGGCAGGTATGAAATGCTGGGTCTCGGGGAAAACTACTTCAGTTCTGGATGCGTATGTTGCAGGATCACGAAGATGCCGTACAATCACGACTACCATCAGGTCGATCTAATCAAGGGTGTAGTTTGTTGTTCAGTTCGGGGCTACAGCCTCCTCCCCCTTCTCTCTCCTACCTTCGAGACGAACGTGAGCCAAATCTGGCGAGGAACTCGTTTGTTGGCGCACTTTTGAGGGTAGAACTCGCGATTCTTCACTGTTCAGCCCCTTTCTTTCACTCATTTTGTGAAACTACGGCACTGGATCACGGACGTGGTTCTGGATGTGAAGCCACACCCCTGGATCCGTACTATACCTGCCGCACCCACACAATAACCGTCATTTTCAATGGTGCGAAAAACCCGGGATCCCCGGGAACATCAGAAGCAACGCAACGCCTGGAACACGACGTTATGCTGACGCTGTTGCACAGAACGGCACACAACGCCGTGTTCTGATCCCGGCAGACAGGCTGCCTGCCAGCCTATTACCACACACCGCGTCGCCGCCGTCGCCAGCCGGCTCGGCGCTCTCGGTGAGCGGGTGCGGCGCGTGCCTGTCCAGCACAACGACGACAGATGGCGGCCATGGCGCCGTGCTGACTCCGACGGGTGCCGGCCAGCACAGCGGTCACCTCGAGCGGCCGCCGCCGGCTGGCCACTAGCATGTAGGCCGTCTTGTAGCGGCCGTACCGCAAGCGGTTCCAGTGGAGACCCCGGTTAGTTTAATGGAAAACAAACGCAAAATACACTCGTCGAGCAATAATGGCGCAATGCCTGACACAAGGCAACGCTGAAGGAGAATAACTCCGGCACAGTTGCCGATGGGTATAGTGCCGGGGGTCGACCTCGGTCTGCACAGTGCTACACGGACCAGTCGCCGGCCCGGTCCAGCCGGCGGCGGCGGCGGCTGTGAGACCCACCCTCACGGCCGGGTCGGTGATGGCCGTCAGGAGGAGGCCGACGGCGGCGTGGCCGGCTGGCGGCAGGCCCACCAGCCGGCGCAGCGTCTCCTGGCTCAGCTGGGCGGCGTCCATCACCTGCTGCAGCAGCGCGTGCAGGTGGTCGGCCCGGCCGGCCGCCACCAGCCGCTCGGCCACGGCCGGCAGCAGTCCTCCCAGCTCCAGCGGCAGCGCACGCTCCATCCTGCCGTCCAGAGGCCCGGAGGCAGCATCGTTTTCTTGCATCCTGCATCAGCGGGGTTTTGTTTCCGCTGGACGATCCCGCAGTCTGACTGGCTCTGTTGACAAGCCGCGCCACGGTGCCACGGGGACAGTAGGACCCTTCATTGGTTAATCGTCATAAAACGTCGCATAATTCCCGTATCCCGTGGTCGTGATTGTTTACGCTGAAAAGCGCTACAAAGAGTGCGGCGTCTGTTGCGAGAAAAGATTCGACGCCCCACCAGGGAACCAGACTGCTGCCGGTGCTGGCTGTGAGCTTGGACGCTGTTGGGCGAAGTGGGTATCAGTATATGTGGTTGAGCGAGATACCGGGAAATAGAGTTGAACTTGAAAGACACACCTTTGTTACTTGTAAGGACTGGCACCGAAAGACGTCGTCACCAGCCCGTCACGCTCATCAGCCGGAAGTCTGCTTCATCCCTTTACCTGTTTACGTGCATTTTATTCTTGGTATACAAAACGGTACTGTTGAACCCACGTGAAATGTCGCTTTAATTATTATTGTTATTGATTATCATTCATTAGCGAGCTAGATAAGCTGAATTTGTATGCCCCGGCCAGCCCTTACACCCGGTCCGCACATCAGGAGGACCACGAGGACGTTTTGTACAGTATACAGCCTGGCCCACCTCACCGTTCCGGCCCCCCCCCCCCCCCTTCAATTCTCTGTCAGGTGGCTGCCGACACTCACCAAGGCACGGTAAGCCGTCCCCGCTTTCTATGGCCCCCACTCCTGTCAGCCCGAAGACGAGTGAGTCCACTCATCGACAATCAGTAATACGCCGACGCAATTCGACCTTCTGAACCTGGATGTTCTACGCCACGATCTTTTGTGCCTTACATTGTGAACCTCGAGTGCTGCGTCCAGACCTTCTGAGCGCCGTGATGTCAAATCGCACCGCACGATGAAGGCGCTCCTTGTATTGAAGATGCCACGGCTCCTAGGCGTTGAAATTATAACGGTGCTCTCCACTCGTGCCAATACGAGATGAATTATTTAACCTTTATTACAATGACAGATGTGCACGTCCGGACCTTGCTCTCCTCTGAATCCGGAATAAGTGCGTCTCAATGCCCCCCTCCCTTGCCCGGCCCCGCGTCTCTCCACCCCTGCCCGGAGACGGCACACTGTGTTGTGCCGCAGCCGCAGCCCCGCCGGGCTTACAGTGAACACACACACACACACAGAGGTGCGGCGCCGGCCAAAGACCAGAACGCGACGTGACCCAGCGCCCGCCGGCGCGGCGGCCCGCTCGGCTGGGACCGGCGGCAGCACCGGCCAGCACGTGACCTGTCACAGAACGGCGCATGCGCACAGCTGCGGTGCCAGCAGGCGGGTCTGGCCGAGCCACGCCGCGGGCCTGCGCCTCGTCAGCTGCGCTCGCCCCATCACTGGGCCTTGGACGCCTGTCGTCTCAGAAGGATGTAAATCTTCTCCTTGATCCAGTCCTTGTTGTACGGCGCGTAGGTGTTCGTGCTCTTCTGGTACCTGGCGGGGATGAACAGCCGTCAGGTCCGCTTGGTCCTGTGATCTCCCGTTGGAAGTTCAAACACGGTAAAGTCGGGTTCGACAGGTGAGTGAAATAGACGGATGTAAGCCACCGGCGATAACATCATCACCAAGAAAAGTCGTGGCCGACGGAACATGTCGTTAAACCAAAGAGAACATCCGCAGGCTTGTCGGGCGCAAATATTGGGTATCAAGCTAAGTCATAGGTCAGTCACAGCGATCAGACCGCAAAGAACAGAATCGAGTTACTGACAATAAAGCGGTATTGTCCGGAATAGGAAAATGTACGAGAAATGGTGACAGAACAAGGAGTGTGAATAAGTAACTATGCAAAAAGGAGCATGCTATGCAGCCACGAAGCCGTATGTTAGTTCAGTATGTCCTGTTGCATGTCAGAATGTTCAGTCCAGTATGCATGCTCTATGTCAATTCGTAGCGTAAGCGTCACAGCAGTCTGCTTTGGCTTATAACTATCGTCCCAGAACTATGTAACCACCAACCTGTAGGGTTCGTTAACGGTATGCTGCGTATCTTAACGCACAGAATACCCGAGAAGGAAGGGGGGCATCCCATTTCCCCCTTATTCAATGGTTCAAAGAATCGTTACTGCGCTTGAAAGGCCATTAAATTAAGCTGAGCACTTTGTAGGGGTTCGCCAAAACCGAGCTTTTGGACCTAACGGGCAAGAGTTCACAAAGCATCCCCGCGTCGACAAAACTGGTCGTTCTACGCAATCGGCCAAACCAGCATTATGGCCAACTAGCCGTCACTTCAAACTTTCAGGGAAACAGCGGCAATCAAAACGAGAACACAGTAAACATGAAAAAAAACAACACTGATCCTCGTCCCAAGCATAAGCCATGACTCAGCGGGATACACCAGCCTTGCACCAGATGGTTACAACGACTACTGTCCAATGTAGGACGGTAGTCGGCATCGCATCACCAACTGGTGATGCGATGCCGACTACGGACTGTTGTGATGCCGGCCATGACAGGTGCTTGGATTCCACAGCATGCACGACAGGCGCTTCTATGCTGGCGATCACAAGCCCCACATCTTTGCATGTAGAGCTCCTAGAAACTATACACAGCTGACGAGATGGACCAACCGCATCTGGAAGACCCGTGCAATATGCTGACAACTCCACAATGCACAGGTTATACCGCGGAACAATACGGCCGATTACCGGGCTTCAGGGAAGCCGGCGGCCATGAAGATCAACTCTGGATCGCCTAAGAAGTTTGCAGCTAAGCAGGTCAATACCATTCAAAACAGCCAGGAAGCAGCAGCCGACGAGCAGCACAACAGACGTATTAACACCAGGTTCCAGGCAGGACAGAGCCCTCACACCAGGCAGGACAGTGCACTCGCACCAAACAGGACAGTGTACTCACACCAGGAAGGACAGTGCACTCACACCAGGCAGGACAGTGCACTCACACCAGGCAGGACAGTGCACTCACACCAGGCAGGACGGTGTGCTCACACCAGGCAGCACAGTGTACTCACCAGGCAGCACAGTGTACTCACACCAGGCAGGACAGTGTACTCACACCAGGCAGGACAGTGCACTCACACCAGGTGGGACAGTGTACTCACACCAGGCAGGACAGTGCACTCACACCAGGCAGGATGGTGTGCTCACACCAGGCAGCACAGTGTACTCACCAGGCAGCACAGTGTACTCACACCAGACAGGACAGTGTACTCACACCAGGCACGACAGTACACTCACACCAGGCAGGACAGTGTACTCACACCAGGCAGGACAGGTCCGTCAGCTGGTCGACAAAGTCGAACAGCTGGCTTATGTCATAGGTGATGCTTGGTGTGTTGGGATTCATCCTCTTCAGGTGCTCCTCATATATCTTGCACACACCTGAAGAAGATTAGAGTGATCTAACCGAAGACAAAAACAATCAACACCAGTCACCACACAGCAGGCAGGGATGCACATAGCTTCTCAGCAAACAAAATCTGATCACTCTAGCAGCATCACTGCGCCCCTAAGCAATCCAATGCTGGGTACATATTGGTCTGTGTCATTGTCTCCACACTTTTAGCTGAAAAACGGTCATCACGGACACGATCGCCAGGGAGCAGATGACAACTGGAAAACTTGGCTTATTCTTTGACATACCTAACTGCCTTCGTAATCACGGTTAAACTCCCTAGGCCGAAAGTTCAGCATATGACTGGGATGAAGAGCTACCTAGCTGTTTTGTGGAACAGTTATGTTGCTCATACCACTGACGGCCTGCGCAACGTCATTCAAGTCCACAGTAGCTTTCTAACAAGGGGAGGAAAATGCCCACAGTACTTATGTGATGAGTAGCATTTAACTCTTACCCTCCATGCACTCGTTGACACTCTCGTAGTCTGAGTAGCTCCGGGACTCGGCCTTGGCACTCGGCTGCACCAGAAGGATTGTGTGCGACTGAAAGCATTGGTGTGATCATCAGGGTGACCACAGAGGCAATAGTCCATTCGCTGTCCAGTGTCACATGAGACAAGTTAGCAAGAACATGGGGGGGGGGGGGAAAGTGGAGGCAAATTAATATGTTTGGACAGTGATGACTTATGACAACTAAGGGCTACTTAGACAATTATGAGACAACAGATTGGGGAAATGGGTTTTATTCATTCTAGGCACATCTGAAAGTCATTTCCATGCACAGTGGGAGGAAGGTGGGGGGGGGGGGGGGGGGACAAGACTGCGAAGAGACGCCTCCAAACATTTTGCTCTCTGTGATGCTAATGATGGATGTATACCATCAGAATACAATGTTTACAAAACATGCAATATTTGCTTATGCATATATATATATATATATATATATATATATATATATATATATGTGTGTGTGTGTGTGTGTGTGTGTAGTGATAAAACCATTAGCCAGGAATCTTAATGTGACATACAGACAGTCCACCAGCATAACAATCAGGACATTGATCTTCAGTCCCTAGTCCCTTTGGACCCAACTTCAGGCATCCTGAACACTGAATCTGACTGACTTCTAAATGTACTAATGATAATGCTTAAACTGACTTGCTGATGAACCTAACACCCAGGCCAAATAGCTGAGTCATTCAAATCTATTAGAAAAATCAGTCCTACCTTTGACCACAAAACAGAGGATGTGATAGAAGGAGGCTCTTGAGTGAGACATCTAAATAAGGTCTTTTGCAGGCCAGGGAAGAAAGGAGATGTTAAACTAAACCTGGAGCCAAGATCAAGGGCCTGGTGCCAGTGGTAGCACAGGTCACCAGTCAAAACCAGGCCAGTGCAGTTATTGTGGGAGTAGGAGTAACCACTACAGGGTAGGAGGAGAGTGAGGAGATGATGAGGCATTATAGGACCCTATTGGCCACTCTGCAGCATAACAGAGGTATGAGGATAGTGACAGACATTCTGTGTAAGGTTGAAGCACCTACTGAGTGGAGCTCCAGGGTGCTGGCAGCCAACATCAGAGTGGGGAAACTTTGTGACAGCTGGCTTCACTTTTGTAGACAATTGGGACATGTTTTTCAACTACAGATACCTGCATCAGAGAAGTGAACTCCATTTATGTGACAAAGATGTACATGTTCTGGAAAAGGGTGTAAAAACATGCCCTTCCAGGAAACTAGCTTCTGGGGATGGGAGGGTGAATGTAGAACACCATGGTAATGATGATTTAAAATTGCTGGACAGTAAACCAAAAAGAAGCACAAGAATGCTTAAGCACTTCTATGCAAATGCAAGAAGTATCAAGAATAGGTTTGGTGAGCTCCATGCACATGAATCTTGAGCCAGTGAGCACCTTTTTGGGGACAGTTTACAGGAGTTTGATGTATCTGGGCACAACATACTTACTTTTCAAAAAAAAAAACTAAACCAGGAGGTGAAATACTAGCACATGTAAGGCAGAACATGAAATGTGAAATTGTGGACAGTGAGCTTCATGCACATATGCTGGAAAGAAAATTAGACCTGGTAGCTATCACTGAATCTTGAACCACTGAGCACCTTTTTTGGGGACAGTTTACAGGACTTTGATGTATCTGGGCACAATATATGTACTTTTCAAAAAAAACAAAACCAGGAGGTGAAGTACTAGCACATGTAAGGCAGAACATGAAAGGTGAAATCATGGACAGTGTGAGTAATACTGATAGTGTAGAATCCCTATGGATCAATTAGGGAACACTTGAAGCAACCAAAAATTTGTTGGAACATTCTGTGGGCTTCCAAATAATTGTCAGGAGGTGGACACAGATATATGTGAAGAAATTGGCCATGGTGTGACTGGAAAATTGTGGTGTTGAGAAATTTCAATACCCCTGGCTCGAGCATGGATTCTGGCAACTGCAAAATAGTCACAAGAACATTGTTACTTGCTTTGAAGAAAATTTCCTTTGCATCACATGTGTGAACCCATTAGGGGAGATGAGATTTTTTATTTTGCTCTGACTAATGAAGAAGTGTTGGTAGATGCTTTGACAGTAAGTGAGACATTGGGAAATAGTGGCAATAATATGGTGTCATTTTCATTGTGTCTAAGGTATTCAGGTAAGACTAAATGTGCTCATACTCCAAATCTTGGGTCAATTTGGAGAACTTCTAGTCTTTCTGGCTAGCTTCAAGTGGGAATATATTCTAAACAGACTCACTGCACATCAGATGCATTAAGTGTCCAAAGATACCTTGGAGGGACAGAAAAAAATTCATCCCCTTTTGAAAAAAACATGAGAGAACAATTCTAGGAAGCCCCCATCTTCCTAGTCTAGCCTGACAGAAACAGACAGCCCATGATCCAAGAAGTAGCATGTGATATGCAAAAAGTGCAGGACACAAGAACAGACAAGGCTGTGCATGGGACTGCTACAAAAAGAATGAATAATGAAATCAGGGCGGCCAAAAAACTATCACACATATGTTAGCTGATGCAACTTCAAAGCTAATGGATCCTCTGTCCACAAACTCAATGCAGATAGAAAGTTAAATGTGAAGGACAGGAACATTGAAGATGCTCTTATCATGCCACTCTCCTTAGTTCTCATAAAGGAGATTTTGTGTGATCCCCTAGTAAAAGGAAAAATCTGACTGCACTTGGTCCTGTACATTTAATTCTCACTGAAGGTATGGTGAGAGATAGCTTGAAGGAAATCACTGTTAGTAAGATGGTCAACTCTGAAGAGATGCATGGCAGAGTGCTGAGTGAATGCACTGGAAACCTCATCCTTTCATGCTAACATTTTTTATTAAGTCATTGAATTTCTCACAAGTCCCTGTGGAATGGCCCAATGCCAATGTAGTACAAATACTTGTTATTATATTTGTTAAATTGTGCTCAATAGTACAAAATCCCAATGGGAACCAGTAGGGAATATGGTTCCACCACAGCTGGTATTGGGCTGTCTGTTCTCAATTGCTTTTGTGACTGACATTAAGATAGGATCAGGCAATAAGGTGCTAAATTTCACAGAAAATATTTAGCTGGTAGGGGTGTATAAAAATATAGACCAGGCAAAGCAAATTCAGCTTGACTTGGAGAAACTAGTGAACTGAATCCCAGGATTTCAGTATAAAAAGGAGGCTAAGATTGGGGGTAGAGACCAGCTACTTCTTAAAGGGATGTTTCATATTTGAAGATAATGAAGCAAGCATATATGATGACATGATATCGTAAGACAACCTCGCATATAACTATTGGTATACTTTTGAGAAGAAGAGACTGCTCCAGTCAACACAATTTCTCTCTTCTGCAAATATGCTTCTTGACATGTCATTGTTTCATTATGCCATCACACCCTGCACAAAAATGATTGAGAGCCAAGTGACAGGCATTATTCCTGGAAATAATGCTCATGAATGCCAGATATGAATGCCTTGACCATCATGTTTTATCAGACTTGACCACTGCATGGCTTATGAAAAGACTAGATTTTAATCACATTGTTATTATACCATGAATGTCAAGATGACTGAGAAACTGTCCCAAAATCACTCCCCACATTTTTGCAGGCATGTCACTCAGTAACTAGAAGGATTTAGGTCTCAGGAAGAACATGGCTAAAAACTGCAATAAAAGGTCTTCAAGATGGCTATTTCAGTTCAAAACCCTACCTGCATGTGTAACACTCCCCTTAAACTACAGAAATCTTCTCAAAACAAATTTTTGACACTGCGAAGAAATCAACAATCGCAAACCCAACATACTCCCCATACAATGACTTGGGATTCCACGCCAGTTAAATACAGACAGTTGTTTATCCAACAACTTGCAACGGGCTAAAAATAAAGTACAAGAGCAGGAGCAGCATAATCTATATCTCAATGATCAGACCAAGCATCGAAGACCATAACATAACGAACAAGAAACATCATCTTACCATTTCGTTTTTTGGCGAACTCCAGAAACCCTCTGAAGAAAACCTCAGCAAAAATCACGTCTCTGGTAGTTACAGATGGAAAAAATGTTTAAAATACAATACTTTCAGTAAAGCCACAAGGGTACTTTCTTCTACCAACGAAATGTCACCAAACACGTATAACTCAGCACCGCACCCAAATCCCCACCGCATGCGGGGTCAACCCAAACAACACCACTTCCTCACACATCCAGGTAGCGTTCATACCGCCCTAACGACAATAATGGCGTGCGCTATCGCGCTGAATGTAGATATCTCACTTGCTACCATATTTGGTTGGTATAATGTTTGCGTAGAAGGTTTGTCCGTGTGTTGGTCGGTTTTCGCGATGTTCTAATAAAATGATTTTTAAAAAAATCATTCATTTGCATCTTCACACCTTAGAGTAATGTCAAACATATTTATATTTTCATCAATAGTAAGGTATTCTCCGCTTTTCCAATCCTTTACAGAAATTTTTGGTATTACAGCTGGGTGATGTTTTTCGACCTTGAGATGGCCGGCGGGGCTGATCAACACGAGGAAATGGGTGAATCAAGGAAGCTGGAGAGCCCCGTGCTCTGAGTCGAGGCGCTGATATATGGCTTTTGCTCCTCAAGTGTGCTGTTTTAAGTGTTGCGAAACGATGAAGGGAATAATTTTCTGTGTATTCTTTATGGGTACGAGAGGGGACTCACCATCGGGGGGGGGGGGACACTGGTAGGCTTAATTGTTATAATTGTTATGCGTTCCCTTTTCGCCTCTAAGGCCCACGGGTCTACCCAAATCTAGGCCAGAACTGGCATAGTTGCTTGCCTTGCAAGCCTCACCACTAGTAGGGCGTGAATGAATTGGTGACAGGTCACCAAATTTATGAACACTAGACCAGTTGGTGTTGAATAAGTGTTGTTATGCAACACATGCAAGATACTGTCCTTTTGTAAATTGTATTGATTGTGTAATGTCTGCATTTGTTTAAAGCAGGGTTCTTGAGCGTGGCTTGCTGTGAAGACCCTGGCCCACATTATTACATAGATCAATCACAGCTCAACATAGAATTTCAGGCCACATTTCCACATATCTGATGTGCCCCCTGATCCATATGCCATGTCATGGGATGACTCTGGACTACTAATTCACTTTTTAGGAAATGAGAGAAGCATGCTCTCTGGGGTTCAATAAGCTCAACCCATATGTCCACTGCATAGTGAAAGGCATGCTTTGCATTCTGTTCATGGAACTACTAGGATGATGGTAGCTCAGTTCAATATAGCCAGATGGTAAAACAGTGCAGTTCACAAGTGATAAAGTGTTCATTAGTAATAGGGGAAATTTCATGCAGACAACATGTCTGATGTAGGTAGAATGAGAACATCAGCCTATTATGACATATTGACTGGTGATTTAAGCCCCAGTACCATCACAGTACACCTCTTATAGTGTAAACCATTGAGCACCTGGCATACCTTGCTGTCCAATACTGTGCTGTTGAAACAAGACCTGTATTGAGTCCACTGTAGACTAGTTGGGGATACCAAACTACCACAGTTTTGTCACATGCTACTACATTTTAATGGCTTGTACCATACTTTGCACACCAAATGTTTGGGGAGACTTACCAATGAGTAAGTTTTTTTCTGTTAAAACAATACTTTTGCTCTAGTTGTGGCCTTCAGGTGGAATAATGAATGGTTACTTTCCCAAAGTTTAGGTGGCCTTGGACTCTGGATTGCTAGCTGTGAACCATGAGCACTGAAGGGGAAGAGCTTCACATGGGTGCTATTAATGAAGAACTGTGGACTGAATTAGCAGTCCATGTGAATATTCCAGCAACATTGCCACAGGTAATAGGTCAAACCAGTGACATTGCTATTCTGTGACAAGCATAGTTTTCATTTAAATCAGTCATTTGTATGTGATATTAGAGCACAGATTATGTCTATCCATTGTTTCTGTTGGCCATATAGCTAAGTCAAAATGTGAAAAGCAAGACAAGCACTCATTTGTGTCATCTGTAAATGTAATCGACCAAACAGCTGAAAGTGCTGGAGAGACATTGATGACAGTCCAAGCATATTTCACAAACAAGTAACAATGTTAAGCATATACAAGGGCTGTCACACCATGGTCTATTGCTGCAGGAGCTGGGAGGGCCGCATGAGGCGGCTGAGCAGCGCTCGGCGGGTTTGGCGGCGCTCCGGGCGGCGCTGCGGCTGGGCCCGCCGGCTGCCGCCGTCGCCGCAGCGGCGCTGGCCGCCGCCGGCCGGCTGGCAGCTGAGCTGGCCGCGGCGCTGGAGGAGGCTGAGCCGGCGGTGGCGGCCGCGCTGCTGCCGCTCTGGCCGCCGGACGCGCCGCCACCGCCGGCCGGCCCGCTGCTCCGACTGCCGCTGCACGTGGCCGTCTTATGCGCGGCCGCCGCCGGCGCGCCGCTGCCGGCCGAGGCGCTGCTGCCCGGCGGCGGCGGCGGCCTGGCCGAGCTCCGCCCCTTCTTCCTGCGCGACGGGGACGGCGGCGACGCGGACACGCTCCGGGACATCATGGTTGGTGAAGCACCCTGGAGGCAGGGTTGGGGGAGGGGAGGGGGGATGCGATGCATTCAGATGGGAGCCGGTCGCTGGTCGTTTTGGATAGGTAGCTGATTTGCCGTTGGCTGTTGTGTCGTCAGCTCGGAAGTTATGCGATGTGTTCAGGCTATTGACCAAACGTCAGGTGTGTTTACTGTCGTGTTTTGTGTTGCATATGAAACTGTGGAATTATGGCACTAACTTATGCAAGCGCTTCATAAAGCGACTACCACGCTGCTGCACTGAGCCATCGAGCTCTGACGCCATCGGTCGCGTCCGACCGAAGCGGAGAGCCAAACACACGCGACGTTTCAGCACAGCCGTCGTAATCCCCCTGTCTTCGCGCCTACCACCCGTCCCACGCGCTGCAGGATCACTGTCTGGACCACTGGATGCGCTGGTCCGACGACCCGCTGCTGACGCCGCTGCTGCCGCTGCTGGCCTCGCGCGCCTGGAGCCAGGGCCGGCTGGATGACGCCGTGGCCGTCAGTACAGCCTGCGCCAGCCGGGGGGTGAGTGGCGCCTCCTCGGACGGGCTGCGGTGACGCCAGTAGCGTCGCGGACGCGGATTGGTGCAGGCGTTGGTCGTGACGTCGGGGATCGGTCGCTGCCCGGGCGAGGTGCTTTTGGCCATTGGTACATGCGCCGATCTTTGCATCTGCGAGTGATCTGTTATCTTTTTTCGAAAGTGGTTGGCCCAGTTCAGCGTCGGAGTGAGGCGCCCCTGGTCACCGTAGTGGGTTGATGGCTGCGGAGTCCGTGGTCGGGTGTCGCAGCGGTGTTGGCGTGAGGTAGAATTCCGCGGGAACATGTTTTTTGTGTGCAAAAATATCCGTCTTAATTTACATCGTGAATTGACGTGTGTTGTACTCGGCAAACCAGCGTAGGTAGTTCGCTGTCTGGCCGTCGTGCAACGGCGGTGGTTTCCACATGGTCCCTGTGGTGACGCTCCTAACTGGCGCACCACGTGGCTCATGCCGTCGTCGATTTGTGGGAAGCACTTGGTGATGGATATGAGCTACTGTACGTCGTGGGTTATTGACTGACCCGTGTCTCTGTTACCTGTTCCCGGCCGTGCCGCCGGCGGTCGGGTAGTCTGCCTCGCGGCACAGCCAGCGATCGACCAGCATTGAGCCAACGTATGGATTGCGAATGCCTTTTGCGGCTGTATCGGTTGCTAGTTTCTGTTGCGGCCTTGTCGGTTATCAGTGTGTCTTGCAGTCGGGTCATTTCCTTGTGTCTCTTGCAGCTGCGTCATTTAGTGTTTCTGGCAGCCTCGTCAGCTACTAGTCTCTCGTACAGCCGCGTCAGTTACGCGTGTCTCGGACGACTGCGTCAGTTACGAGTCTCTCGTACAGCCTCGTCAGCTACCAGTCTCCCGTACAGCCGTGTCAGTTACGCGTGTCTCGGACGACTGCGTCAGTTACGAGTGTCTCGTATAGCCACGTCAGCTACGCGTGTCTCGGACAGCTGCGTCAGTTACGAGCGTCTCGTACAGCCGAGTCAGTTACGCGTGTCTCGGACGACTGCGCCAGTTACGAGTGTCTCGTATAGCCACGTCAGCTACGCGTGTCTTGTACAGCTGCGTCAGTTACGAATGTCTCGTACAGCCACGTCAGTTACGCGTGTCCCGGACAGCTGCGTCAGTTACGCGTGTCTCGGACAGCTGCGTCAGTTACGAATGTCTCGTATAGCCACGTCAGTTACGCGTGTCTCGGACAGCTGCGTCATTTACGCGTGTCTCGGACAGCTGCGTCAGTTACGCGTGTCTCGGACAGCTGCGTCAGTTACGAGTGTCTCGTACAGCCGCGTCAGTTACGCGTGTCTTGTACAGCTACGTCAGTTACGCGTGGGTCGTACAACCGCTTCAGTCACGCGTGTCTCGGACAACTGCGTCAGTTACGAGTGTCTCGTACAGCCGCTTCAGTTACGCGTGTCTTGTACAGCTGTGTCAGTTACGAGTGTCTCGTGCAGCCACGTCAGTTACCACTGCGTGCCGGGTGTGGCGTCGGCCGCCAGCGGCCGGCCCGTGTGTCACCGCCCACCGTCAGCTGACGTCTGCGCCGTGCTGCGGCAGGAGGCGGTGAGCGGCGACGCCGACGTGCACCGCTGGTGCCGCCTGCTGGGCAGCCGGGCGGCGCTGGTCGGCCGCTGCCGGCAGAGCGGCGTCCTCACCGCCGACCAGCTGGAGACGCTGCTGCAGGTGGGTCCGCCGCGAGACCGGCTAGCGTCGCGCGCGCATCTGCGAGGGCCGCGAGCTGCGGTGTGATCATCCGATCTGGCGTGGCAGGATCGGCTCTGGCGGCGCTCGTTCACCCAGGGGCTGGGCTGCCATGCGTAGATGTGCCTCCAGATTACTGGCGATGTCTATTGGGGATGTCGCCTTAAAGGGGCATGCATCACTGCCCGCCACAGGGAGATTGGAACCCTTGGCTTGTCCATAAGCTCGTCGCTGCCACAATAGCTTGATAACGACGCTCTTTGCCATGGTACTAGTACAGGGAGCGGATTACGACAAAAGTTGAACCAGCGCAATCAAGGATAGGTCAAGTTCATAACATGTTTGCACTTTTTTCCCGTAACATGATTATCTACCCAGGACTGCACTTGAAATTTATTCCTCTGCAGCTGCATCTCCTGTGCGGCA